ACCCCCCCCCCACCAGTTAAACCATACCTTTTAAAATGTTACTGTTCTACACTTAAAATGTAATGACCAGCTGAAGCCAAAGAAAACACAACTTCACCTGGGAGTTTCAATAGGTTTAGCCAGCATTATTTTCACATACAGGGGAAAGGTGAAGCTAAGCTTTTATAAAAAGCCCGAAGCTACTTGCATAAACAAATTATGAAGAATGAACTATTCCCCTTAAATGTATAAGAATATTTTATATGTTCTCTGTGTTTACTTATATTTACAGCATAAGGGATTCAAACTCTTTAAAAAACACTGTAAAAAGATATGTGAGCAGCATGGGTTTATTAAGGTGGTATCTTTTATTGGACCAATTGCATAAAATAATCACGCTATGAAATTTTTGCCTCTTCCATACTTTCTAGATTAGCAGGTTACAACATCATTCTTACACTACGCAAAAACAGGGACAAATTAGTTTATGCATCTAAGAGTCTTGGCAGATGTTACCTCTATGGCATGATTGTGTTAACTGTGCCATACGTTGTACCAAGTCAAGCATTCAGTCTATTTATGACATGATAAAATGGCAAACCAGCCACAAAGACATCCCCTCATTAATGTATAATAATGGTTTGTATTGTGATTTAAATTGAACATGTAGCATGTATTCTAGACGCTGTGTCCCATCCCAAAGATCAGCTGATCCCTGTGATTAGGCACAAGGAAGTCTGGGCCCCAAACTAGGGCCTGGGGCTTCCCCCTGCTCAGTTTAACAATCTGGCACTCTCTCCTACCCAGAGGCAGTCCTGTGTCCCAAGTCTAGGACCTAGGGCTGCCCCGTCCCCATTGAAAGACATATATGGAGCCCAGCATGAGTGATCCAGTTCACCATGATGGACTTCCCATACCAGCAGTTGTACAATTGGGATCTCTGAGATTTTAAGCCTGATCCCAAAAATCTCAGGTCTTGCATGTATGTCTCGCATAGCAGGATGCACTGCTCTGGGAATCAGGTGTAATAGTCCTCAGTTCCAATTTTTAACAAACATTTAAAAAGAAAAATGGTTCTCATGAAAAAATATTATTGCATTTGTTCTGTCTGCCTGCCTTTAGTATTCTGGGTCACTTGTTCATTTGTGGTACCTTTCCTAATCTTCTCCCCGCTTCATTTCATTTTCCCTTCATTAATGTTGTATTTTACAAGACTCTGCCAAACCATCACCTGCTCTACTGCTAATTCTTCCCATCTTTGCATGTATGTCTGTGTGTACCTCCTTTCATCACTTCCTAAACATTTGGAGCTTGTCTATACCACTGAGCTGATATAAGTATAGCCCTCAGTGGAGACTCCGCATAAGTCAGCAAAAGGCAATTTTTCTCCTACTATAGCTATCCTGAACAACACTGGCTAAACAGACAAAAGCAGTCTTCTGACAGCATAGTTGCAGCTGACCAGAGTATATTGTTGGCACAGCTATCATAACTAGGGCTTTGATTTCTTTGTGCTCCTAACAAATACACTGTACTACAAAACCTGTGTAGACCAAACCTAGGCATTGCTTCTTACTCCTCTTACAGTTCTATAAATCCTTTGTTTTCTTTTTTTCCCTACGCTTTCCTTGAATATCCAGCAAAACAGTAATTTAAATGTTCCCTGCATTCCTCCTCCCCTTCCAGTGGCTGCAGTTGCTTTTCTTCTCCTTCTGAATGTACTAGTAGCAGTGTGCATGGAACTAGACACTTGAGCCCTGAAGCATGAAGCCAGAGAATCTCCAGAGATTGCAATTAGGGTCCAATTCACTCTACTGCAATAACAACTAGAACAAAAGCAGCAGCCTGTGAGCACAGCATAGACTCTGGGAGAGGGCAGAGGTTTGCTGCCCGGTCACACGTACATTCATAGGTACACACACAGATGAATAAACACGCCTTGTACTGTTTAAATTAATTTTGTGTATATGAATCACCCATGTCTTTTATGATTCATGTTCAGTTGTGCATGAATGAAAACCTTGAGGAAAAATATAACCTCTGTGAGAGGATGCTTCTCTATTCTGAACTGTTTAGAGCTCCTACGTTGAAACTTATGTCGGAGAAAACTATAACTCTTTAAGGTTCGAACACCCATTTAAAAATAATAATAATAATCAGCTAATATTAATGCTCTGAACTGTAGCAATTTGATTGGATTTCTGGTTGGTTTGATTATAATCATTTAAGATTATAAAGTTATTCCCCAGTAGAAACCCCTGTTAGCCCATGGTAGAAAAAAAAAATCTCACTTCACAGGATAAACCATCCACTCTTTTAAATCGCAAATTTTAAAATATTTTTGATGTAACCTGACACATTAAAGCATTTGGCAGTCACAGCTCACCACTGGCATATTTCCACAATCCTCAAGTGAAATAGTATTGCTGTTATGACAGCAAGAGAGCGATGAGGATGGAACCAACCACCACTTGCTGTGACTGCTTGGAAGACCTCAAAAATAATTTCCTTTATCTACCTGTTTCTTTGTCATCATGAAATTTTCTTTAGGAGTGTTATCTAAAATGCTGCACTACTCTTGCACTCGGATATAAAACAAAAGTAGAGCTAGAACTTAGGGAAGCAAGTAAAACATTTTCCTTGCTTTCCCTTTTGTTAAACAGTATCAAAGATTCTCTACCGATGGCACGTTGATCAGTTTTCTAAGCAGTGTTTTTCCCTTCTGCTCTCTTTAAGGCATCCAAATGCCTCCTCAAGAGGTATGAACTCTTCATTCACTTCATGAATAAACTTACCTTAATGTTAATGCCTGTTAATTCCATCCATAATCAGTCAGACATATTAAAAAAAAATATAGAGTGCCACTTGCAATTCCCAAACAGATCTATCCTTTGAGATTTCTGAAGCCTAACTAAGATTTCTTTGAAGCTGGAATCAAATACCAGCAGCTGTAAGGAGTCCACAGGATTTAAAACTTAAATGAAAATTTCAAAAAATCCTCCACTCAGTCTTTCATGAAGTTCTAGCCAAACTCATGGTCTGTAAGAGTTTTATACCGAAAACTATTACTGCTTTCATTACAGACTGGTTCTTTTGTTTCTGTGGAAAATAAAACAGATATCTAATTTATATATTTAAATGATGTAGCATTTAACCTCGGAACTAAGTATATATAGTAAACTCTCTGGATGCATCTACATGTGAGCTTTATGGAGTAGACTAATTAGCTCTGCAGTTAAGTGCCACCAGCTACACATGCACTAGTATGAGGGTGCAGTAAACTAATTAACACCACCGTTACTGTCAGGAAGTCCCTGACAGTACTATCTTACAGTGGAGTAAATAACTGAGCTGAAATGCATGTGAAGATGCTGGCCATAGACTTAAATTGCACCTGGTCAGCCAGCCTAAGGCTAGACTCCTGCCTGCCGCCTAGTCACACAGCTCCGCTCTTGCAGCAACCTCATGCTCCAGCCAGCCTCTCCACCGTCCAACTTCACCATCTGAAGCCCAAAGCTGACCCCTATGTCCCCCACCAACCATGGACTGCTCTGCTCAAGCTCAAATTGCTGTTATCCTGGGTGCACATGTAGATGCTGTTCCCAGGAGCAGTTTACTGCAGCTCAAACTGCTCCGGAGCTTTGCATTAATTGCATGTGTAGATGCACCCTCTGGGTAGAATACTCACTTCAGGCAATACTCCTATTAATTTAATAGGAACTAGAATTTTATCCTTCAAATCTATTAATGCACACTTACATATAAACAGTGAATAGGCATCCAAACAAAGAACTGATAAACTGGTGGAGCTTCTAAGATGTGTAAGCTGAAGAAAAATGAATGCATGTCAGGGGTGCCAAAGCATGGCGCATGAAGTAATTTTGCTTGGCGCGCACAGACTTCTGCGAAGGGACTGGGACTGCACTGCCACAACCAGGATCGGCCCATTTGTAGCTCTCCCACCATCTGCCCCTAGCACGCCAACATCTTAGAAGTCAAAGTTGCACTCCACCCAAAAACACTGCCAATCCCTGGTATATGCTATGTGGGCCAAACCAGCTGAGTTTGTAAGCTTTACCCACTAGTTACACTCAACTTTTGTTTTACAGGACTCCCTTTCCTATTAAGCTATTAGAAAGTTATATACAGGCACACATTTAAGAAACAAACACATGCTACACTACATTAATACACCATGAAGACTGCAAGAACAAACATACAAACAGTCAAGAAGCAGAAAATGCCAACTGTTAAGGTAGTTACGGTGACAACAGCTAAGCTACTTCACACACGTTATCTATCCGCTGTTGTTAAGTGTTACCATTAAATATTGATCTATGTTCCAGAAACACTTGGTTCATACTCTAGGTTAGTAACAATGTAGCTTCTGGATTTTTTTTGTACATTTCAACTTGAAACATGTAAGTGAACGAATTCATTTATCCATGTTTGTATAGGCATGAGCTTTGTTATGACCTTAACAAACACACACCAGTGTGCACCCACAGCCAGATTTTAAAATAACTTGTTGAGTTATACAGCTGCTATCAACTACTGTAAATCAGAGTTTAAATTATAAATCTGACAACACTCATGCATATTTATCTTGGGGGTTTTTTCCCCCGAGTTCTTTAAAACATGTATTAAGAGCAGCTGTTCTCGAAATGTGTAAGCAAAAGCTCTCTGCATCCCCAGGAGTTTCCTAACAAGCAAATACCATGCCATTTTGAGTAAACCCTGCCAAGTCAAGAGTAGAAATACCAGGTCTGTAAGAGAAGCTTCTTTGTGAAAGGAAGTTTAAAACTCTATCATGGCCTGTATATACATAATTTCATATGAAGTCATTTAAATAATAAAGAGAAAGCACCTGGCATCAATGCAGCACTAGGAAATATTTTTTCCTGCTTCATTTTACTCTCATGCAGCAGCTCTTCTTTGGTCATCGGAAGCTCTAGAATATCTCGAATAATCTGTGCTCCCTCCAATGCTTTTTTACCCATGACTAAGGATTTCACCTCCCACGTGTAGGCTTTTCCAAAACGCTCACAGATTTCTTGGAATACAACAGTGTAGAGACGTTCAGTGTCTGAAAAAGAAAGGCAAAAAAAAAGGAGTCATTTATAACATGCAAGACTCATCCTTTTCAGTCTGAACTACTGCTTCTATGCCCCAAGTCTTCCCAACTGAGGACCCCATTCACCATCATTTAGGAGGCACAGAAGTATACCTAAAGCAGCACATCCTGTCAGCTCTCGCCTTCAATGCAGATTTGCATCCAGACTTCTAGATCAACACAGATCACCAAGCCAGTATTCTTTAAGGGTAACAGTCCCATGATATAAGAAAATGCTCTACAGTGAAGAACTGTGGCCACAGACAAACATACATTTGTAGCAGCTTCACAAGGGAAGAGTTGGGGGGCTGCTGTTCAGAATCACACAAGCTGTTAGGCTGTAATGGTTAGGTATAAATGACTTTTAAGGATACAAGTGTGCTAAATCGCCTCAACTTTGACCTTGAACAAAGCAGGGTTAAAGTTGGAGTGGATTTGCTGTACCTGTATTGCTACAGGCACCAATACAAGTAACAGTTCTAGATCTTGGGCAGTCCTGAGCAGCAGCTGCCCCTCCCTTTTTGAAACTGCTTTAAGGGTACAATTGTCTACCCTCTGTGTGGACTTGCTCTTTCACCAACTTTGTCTTGCATAGGCTTACAGATAACCAATGCCATCATTAGGATACCATGTTTATTCTTCAATGAAGGAAGAAAATCAGAAAAGGAATGCTGGTACTCAAGGGATGTCATTACATATTCCATTTAAACTACAAAAAATCATTTTAAAGTTATTTAAAAATGTCTTTGAACAGATGCTTCAGAGTTCCTTTAAAAGATACTACAGTCATTATTACAGCACCGCTGGCACCATTACATTTACATATGATTGCATTGCCCACACACCCGCACTTCTAATTCCGGGGGCTTCACTGTAAGCGTTAACTCTAGGCTATATTTTGCCATACAAAGAATCCTTAGCTTGGGGAAGATCTTTGCATTTTAAGTCTGATTAGTTTAAAAAAACCCAAACAAACAAAACCCCTACTAGAGTACAACTTTTCTGGGGCTGGGATTCGTTATGATGGTGGATAGGTCCAATCAAAAATAATGAAGCTAATTAAATATCTGAATTAATCCTCAAATACTTTAGTTTAGTATAAATATAATCTCTGCAAGAACACCAAAAGCCAGTTTCTTACCATGCTTTTATTTTCTCTCTTCAAATTGTCCCTTGCATAGAAACTTTTCAGCTTAAGTTTGAGGTAATAGTAAAATAAACAATTTATCAGTCTGCTTCCTCTTCCCCCCTCCTTCCCCATCTTTAAAAAAAGCTTCCTACATTTACTGATGAAAGCTGGTGAGAAAACTGTAGACACAACTTTTAACCTCACTGAAACAAGGTGCCTAGAAAAAAAACATTTAGAAGGGATGAGTGAGAAAATGGTCAATGTTTTCTTGAAAAAAAAAAAAGAGAGAGAGAACCTTTCCCTATAACAGGTATGTCATAGGATGGGGTCCTTAAGGAAGGCCGCGTTACCCTTAGGGACCCTTAACTGTGCCAGTTCGGCCTGCTGGGCACCCTCTATTCTCGTTCTGCGCCTTACTGGCACCTGGGTTCTGTGCACCCCAAATGCTGCGCCCTCTCTAGCACCAGGGTCTGTGCACCCCAAGTACAACGTCGTGAACTCTCTGGAGCCGGGGGTCTCTGCACCTCCCAAAGGGGTCTATGTACCCAAAAGTGCTGTGCCCTCTCTGACGCCGGGGTCCCCACACTGCAGTGGGCCCCCTATGAGGTCTCCTCCTTCCCCAAATAGCTTCACCCAAACCACCCATCTTACACAACAGCAAACAAAACACAAGCCCCTGGGCTATAACATAATACAAAAGGTCAGGGTGTGCTCTGACCCTTTTAAAAGGAGCAGATTTGGTCCTTGGCACTAAGTGTCTAATAGGCCAAGGTACCTGTGGAGCTCATGGAGCCCCCTTAGCCCTAGGTGCAGCATACCAGGCAGTTACAGCATTACTGGGCACTTCCTCCCTGGAGGTTCCTTCCCCTCTAGCTGCTAGCAGGAAACTGCCTTCCTGGCCTCAGACCTGGGGTTTCTATATGAGCCAAGCCCTGCCCCTTCCTGACTGCTGGCAGGTGTGGGCCAACTAACTCATTCTGGCTGCCCTGGTAATCAGCAGTTGGGGCTCCCCACTTCCAGTTTCAGCTTTTTAAAGAAGCAGGGCACCTAAGTGCTCCACGACAAGGTACAGCTGACAAATAGAAGACTTTTAACAGTTTTGCACTCCCCTAAGATCTTGATAGAAAAACAATAATTTAACAAAAAAGAGTGAGACCAGAAGGGCTTTCATAAAGCAAAATAAGCAATCCAGGTTTAACTCAAACCTGCTTTCGTTTGTTTCTGTTTTTCTTACCCGCAGTTTATTTAAACACTTTCAGAGACTTTAGGCTAAGTTTTGCAATTTTGAGCAGAATTGATCTATACCACTGGCAGACTGGAACACTGTATTGAAACAAACACTTTCTGGATTAACTCCCATTAAAACAAACAATCAAATCCCCTTCCCTTCATTAAAGACTGCACTTGCCAACTATTTCCTTTTATTTTGGTAAATTAGATTTAACAGAAGACAAATTGTGGACATTCATAGTGAGAATGTCTTCTTCTCAATGCTTGGCAAGTATTATACGGACAAGATGTATGTTGCTCAAAATTTAAATTCTAGGCCAGGTACAAATATTCAAAAAGCCCAAGGCAGAAGGGATCTAAGTTACACACTTTACTCTAAGCATCATAGGTTAGTTCAGGAGTGAGCAGAACACACATCTGCCCTTTGGAGGGGAGGGAGGGCACACAGGCTGCCTCCACTGGCCAAGGACAGAAGGTTGGAGGTGCTCCCAAATACTTCCCAGTAGGCTCCCTGCTGCTGAACACAGCCCAGTAGCCACCCCTGATTGGCTGCCAGGTCCATGTGACAGAATCCTCCATCCAGCCTCACCCCCACAATTGGCCAGAGGCAGCCTACAACTGGCCAGAGGCAGGACATGTAGTTGGGGAGAAATTCTGTGCTGGCTAGGGTCTGTGACAGCCAGAACAGCTGAGCGTAAGCTCAGTTCCAACACACCTCCTTGACAGTGGGGACTTAGCAGGGGTTAGGATGATGGTAACCAGAAACCTAACTTGAGTCAGTAGGCAATCTGGTACAGAAGTTCTATAAACCAATCTAACCTAAATCGATTAAATCTGATACTAGATCAATCCAGGTCTACCTTAGACTAGGTTCTACCATTTTTAAACCAGTCTACGTGCGCTGAACTTCAGTTACATATGTAGACCAGTTTCCAATCCCTTGTTTCAGTTTATGCACAACATCTGTGCATCTGTAACATGGCTATAGTACACAGGGAAGACTGAAGAAAGAGGGACAACAAATAAAAACTTGGTTGTAGTCTGACAAAAGCCACATGCTTTGCCGCTATACTCCATTAGTCTATATATTAGTTCACATTAACTACTACTTATGAACTACTACTATTAGATTGGTCTTCTAGTCCAAAGACCAGCAGATGGTTCCAATTTGAAATCAGTGACAAACATCTGGGTTATTTCCTGTCATCTCACCTGGAGTCAAGTGAATCCAAACAGTGAAGAAATACAGCACTATAGTCAACTCCACAGTATTTTAGTTTCAGGGTTCTGTTTCAATAACTAAAATTAAAGTTGACCTAGGAAATTCAATAAAGGCCATTTTACTTCGGTGTGCGCCATACCAGCTTTGCAAATGGATCAGAAAATAACCTTCAGGGTAGAGGAAAAAAATGCCTTCTCTAACATTCATGGCAGACACTGTTTATATAATTTAATGCAGGGAAAAAGTTAAGTTCATTACAGGTATTATCATGGTTGGCCCATAAAACACACAGGTTATATATCACAACGCCCATCTAGATCAGCAGAAATTCAAGTGACTTGGCTCTGAAAGGTGCCAAGACTGATAGCCTTAAGAAGCGAAAAATGAAAAAGAAGATCTGCTCATTTGGCACTATCAAGTGGTGTTCTCCGCAAGCTACGGCGAAGATGAATAACAGCATAATGCATAATGCTTAAGATACATTACAGTCCCACTTTTCCTGTGTTTGTGAAGTAGGAAATGTAATTAAATCTTCTCACATTCACCAATAAGCAGCAAACGTGTGTGTGTGTGTGTGTGTGTGTGTGTGTGTGTGTGTGTGTGTGT